GAAATTTCCTAATTGGTTTCTCATATTCCAATCCTGTATCATCTTCCACAAAGTTCTTAATGTTTTAAAAATGGTTTTAAACTTTTTATTATAAAATATTGCAAATATTTAGATGGAAATAGGCCCTCAAGGTTTATAAAATCTTAACATTGTATTATATTTGCTTCACAATTGTTGTTTTGTTTTTTTTCTAAAGAAAGAAAAATTAAAAAAAAAAAAAAAAAGAAGGAAAACCGTTGGTAGAGTTGCAACCTCCTCTATACCCCTCCCTGACACCATTTCCCCCTTCCTTCCCAAAGGTAACCACTTACATAAATTTAATTTTATTATTCTCATGTATGCTTTATCCTTTCAGTACATATTTGAATCCATAGTGTTTAGTATCATTTTTAAATATTTTTTATATATATAAAAATTTTATATATAATATTTTAAATATTAAAATATTAAATATTTTAAATATGTAGATGGTATCAGATTACAGGTTGTTTATTTTACTTAACATGTTTTTGATATTCATTTTAACATAAGCAGCTTTAGTTTATTCATTAAAATTGTTGTATAGTATGGTATCAGAACAAGAGATCATAATTTGTTTATTTTTCTATTGACCACATTGAAATGGTTTTTCATTTTTTCTTTTCATAATTGATGTTGCAGTCAACATTTGTGTATTTCTTTTCTGTACATGTGCAAAAGTATCTCTAAATATACACCAAGGAATGAAATGTGGGGCCTTAGGGCCTTTCCAACTTTTCTATATTTTTGCATAATTGCAGTACAATCTTAAAGAAAAACTCCTATCACTCAAAAAAATTATTTTGCAGCACCTACGATATGCCTGTAGGAAGCAGGAAACCAGAGAGACAAAATCTCTGCTGTCTTAGATCTTATATATTAATGGAGGAAGAACAAGTAAACTAATAAGATGATTTCAGGGAATGCTAAGTGCTGGATAATGAGTCATATCATCCTCTGCTTTAAGATCGTCAATGACGTTTAGGGTTAATGTTACAACTCCTTTCCAAGCCTGTAAGACTTTACCATCTGGCCCCTGCCTCCCTCCTTTCTCCCTTTGACTCCCTTTTTGCCTTTTGCCACACTGACCTTGGAGTTTGGGGAACTTACTAAGCTTTTTCCTTCTTCAGGACCTTCGCATGTATTGTTATAACTTCCTGGAAAGTTCTTCCCAACTTTCTTTGGCTAATTCTTTTTTTTTTTTTTTAAGATTTTATTTATTTATTTGACAGAGAGAGAGACAGTGAGAGAGGGAACACAAGCAGGGGGAGTGGGAGAGGGAGAAGCAGGCTTCCCGCTGAGCAGGGAGCCTGACGTAGGGCTCGATCCCAGGACCCTGGGATCATGACCTGCCCCGAAGGCAGATGCCTAACGACTGAGCCACCCAGGTGCCCCTCTTTGGCTAATTCTTACTCATGATGCAAGCCATAGCTTACTTGTCCTGTTTTCAGATAGACCATAGAAATAGGTCCCTCCTATTAAGTCTCTCTCAAGGCACCCTGTTCTTTTCCTAGTATCACTTACTACAATACATGATTATACATTTGTATGTCATCTGCCTCACCTACTAGATTGCAGGTTCTGTGAAGGCAGAGATGATGCCTCTCTTGCTTCCTGCCATATCTCCTAGCTCACAGCTTGACATATAATGGTTCTTCGGTGAATTTTTTTTTTTTAAAGATTTTATTTATTTGACAGAGACACAGAGAGAGAGGGAACACAAGCAGGGGGAGTGGGAGAGGGAGAAGCAGGCTTCCCGTGGAGCAGGGAGCCCGATGTAGGGCTCGATCCCAGGACCCTGAGATCATGACCTGAGCTGAAGGCAGACGCTTAATGACTGAGCCACCCAGGTGCCCCCCTTCGGTGAATTTTTAAAAAAATTAATACAAATTAGTGTTTTTCTGAAAGTTTGGTTGCAGACTCATTTTGAGCAGGATATTTGGTTTAGTTTGGGTTTTGATTTCCCTCTCTCCTTCAGGGCTTTTCTCGCCCTAACTAAGGGTTTAGGGTAGCTTCCATGAGTCCCCAGAACAAAACCAGGTCTTAGTATGGAGTTTAAGGGCTCCTATCCTTGTGACACTAAAGATAACAGACTTCATCAGAAGGCCAACAGTTTTGAGGTTTTGAGGCTATCACCCCTGTCCACAGCCAGCCTCCCTTGCCTCTTAATCAGATGAAATTCATAGCTCTAGATGGTGGTAGACAGTAGGGCTTTGTTGTTTTTTAAGCCTCTTTTAAGAAAGAATATTGAAGTCCTTGGGAAAAGCTTTACTCCACTCAGTGAGCCTGGATCTAGTTTATCATCTTCCTTGGAATCTTTTTAGTCCCTGTTACTTTTTCTTTTTCTTTTCTTTACTTTTTCAAAAGATTTTATTTCTTTATTTGACAGAGAGAGAGAGAAAACATAAGTAGGCAGAGCAGTAGACAGAGGGAGAGGGAGAAGCAGGCTCCTCCCTGAGCAGAGAACCTCTGTTACCTTTTGAGGAGCCAGTCTCTTTTCTCCCTCTCTCTCTCTTTTCTTCCTCCTTCCCTCCCTCCCTCCCTTCCTTCTCTTCCTTACCATTTGAAAGTAAGTTTAAGTTGGGACGCCTGGGTGGCTCAGTTAAGCGTCTGCCTTCAGCTCAGGTCATGATCCCGAGGTCCTGGGATCGAGCCCCGCATTGGGCTCCCTGCTCGGCGGGAAGCCTGCTTCTCCCTCTCCCACTCCCCGCTGCTTGTGTTCCCTCTCTCCCTGTGTCTCTCTCTGTCAAATAAATAAATAAAGTCTTAAAAAAAAAAAAAGAAAGTAAGTTGAAAGTATTATGACATTTCACACCAAAATGCTACAGCATGTAATTTTCCTAAAAAAGCAACATTCTACATAATTACAATACCACTATCACACCTATGAAAGTTTATGTTGATAGAATATTACCTAATATAATTTCCGTGTTCAACTTTCTCTAATTATCACCCCTCCACACCCAGAAATTGCATAATAATTTTCAGTGAAGGATCACACATTTTATTTAGATTTCAGGTCTCAAGTCTTCTTTAAACCAGCACAGCTCCCATGGCCCTATTTTATTTTTATTTTAAAATTTTTTGTCTTTCACGATATTGACATTTTTGAAGAGTTCAGGTCAGACTTCTATAGAACGACCAATAATCTGAATTTTTGTTAATTTTCTCTCTTTTTTTAAGATTTTTATTTATTTATTTGACAGAGAGAGACGCAGCGAGAGAAGGAACACAAGCAGGGGGAGTGGGAGAGGGAGAAGCAGGCTTCCCGCTGAGCAGGGAGCCCAATGCGGGGCTCGATCCCAGGACCCTGGGATCATGACCTGAGCCGAAGGCAGACGATTAATGACTGAGCCACCCAGGCGCCCCTTAATTTTCTTTTCCTCAATGGTCAGATTCATGTTACACATTTGAAAAGAACACTCCATGTTTTTGATGATGTTGTGTCCTCATCACATCGCATCCCATCAGGAGGCATATGATATTATTTCCCATCACGAGGTATATGAGTATTTTGTCTCCTTAGTGGTAATGCTAAGTTTGATTACTTGTTTAACGTGGTGTCCACCCAATCTCTTCACAATAAAGACATCTTTTTCTCTCTGAATTTAATAGGGACTCTTTGGGGTGGCACCCTAAGACTATGTGAATATTCTGTTTAACAACAACCTTTCACCCAGTGGTATTAGCATCCATTGATGATCCTTGCTTGTAGATGTTATTATATTAGTAGTTGCAAGATAGATAATATATAATTTACCATTCCTTCTACATTTTTAATTAATTAATTTATTTTTAAAGGCTTTATTTATTTATTTATTTGACAGAGGGATAGAGAGCACAAGTAGGCAGAGCGGCAGGCAGAGAGAGAGGGAGAAGCATACTCCCTGCTGAGCAGAGAGCCCAAAGTGGGACTCAATCCCAGGACCCTGGGATCATGACCTGAGCTGAAGGCAGACATTTAACCATCTGAGCCACCCAGGCGTTCCTGTTCTGCATTTTTTAACCTGACATTCTATAAAGAAGCCCTTTCTCTCCTCCCTTCCAACATACTGGTTTTTTTGTTTTTGTTTTTGTTTTTTTTAAAGTATCATTATGGGCTCATAGGTTCTTTTTGCATAGGACATTTTGACTAGAAGTAAAGTAGTGCTTTTCTGCATATATTTTCATAGTGCTTAATCTGAATTTATTAGGTCTTTTTCTTATATGATACTTCATAATCGGTTGTCTATGTGAAGTAACATATTTGAATAAATAGCATAGTGTGGAGCTCCATTAAAAACATTTGCTCCTGGGGGGGGTGCCTGGGGGTCTTAGTTGGGTAAGGATCCAACTCTTGATTTTGTCTCAGGTCATGATCTCAGAGTCCTGAGATCAAGCCCCGTGTTGTGCTCCACGATGGTCCCCACAATGGGCATGGAGCCTGCTTAAGATTTTCTCTCTCGGGTGCCTGGGTGGCTCAGTTGGTTAAGCGATTGCCTTCAGCTCATGTCATGATCCTGGAGTCCCAGAATCGAGTCCCGCATCGGGCTCCCTGCTCAGCGGGGAGTCTGCTTCTCCCTCTGACCCTCCCCCTCTCATGTGCTCTCTCTCTCTCATTCTCTCTCTCAAGTAAATAAAATCTTTAAAAAAAAAAGATTTTCTCTCTCCTTCCCCATCTGCCCCTCCCCCTGTTCTTGAGTGTGTGCTCCCCCCCCAAAAAAAACAAAACCAAAAACACTTGCCCCTTCTCCAACTGTGAGATGTTATTGTAGTCAGGTTTAGTTTTTTCATCATTTACCATGTTAACAACTATGGTAGTGATTTATTTTCATTTATTTTCCTTTGGTGACTTCAACATGAAATCAAATCTGGTATTGTTATTAAAAATTCATTGGGTAAAATTCCTAGTGATAAAATACAATACACAGAAATACACTCCTCTCCCCTTCTCCCTGACAACAATGCACATGCATTTAATGTCCTTTCTGTCTTATTTTTAGGATCGAAGATTCAATGATGAAATTGACAAGCTAACTGGATACAAGACAAAATCACTATTGTGCATGCCTATCCGAAGCAGTGATGGTGAGATTATTGGTGTGGCCCAAGCGATAAATAAGATTCCTGAAGGTGCTCCATTTACTGAAGATGATGAAAAAGTAAGTTTTCATACCTTTTGTGAGTTGTACTCTCCTTGATCATTGATTGCTCTTCTCCCTGAAAAGGACAGGACTTGTGTGAATAGTTGTTGGATTAACCTATTCATAGATCAAAGAGCTTTTTCTCATGTTACACAAAATGTAATGGAAGTTTGGGATATTTCATAGAATGTGTTACAGTTGAAAATAACTACTTCATCTTTTTCTTAGTTTACTTTTTATTGCAAGCCTCAGTAGTATTCTTTCCTTGGTCTTTATCTTCCGTATACATAAGCTTTTTAATTGAGGATCACACCACCACTACACATGGCCCAAGGGAAGATATGGAATTAGGAAGATGACTGTGTTTCAGAAACTCAACACTTGCTCTTGTGTTTTCATAACTACTATGAAGAATTGTTTTCTCAGTTCTTATATAAAAATCTCAATGAAATGAATGTTATTTAATCGTTATTCCAAATTACTAATAAAGAGAACATTATTTTGTCTCTAAAGAACGCTTGGCTTTGGTAGAAGTGATGTATTTTTGTTCTGAAATGTTAAGTTCTTTCACCATAGTTTATTCACCAGCTCATATTAAAAGAGAGACTCTTCAAAAAGCTGTTCTTTCTGACTTTGAAGCTCTTACCTTTATATTGAATAAAATCTGGTGGAATATTTATGAAATTTGTGGTAAAAGCAAATCTCAAATTAGTTTAAGTTTGATGACTGTCATACACCTATTTGACTAAAAAAAACACTTTATAATTTAACCTTCTGGATGTGAGCTTGCTATTTGCTAGTGCTAATTATTAATGCATTAAACGAATGCAAATGTTCTGGTTCAAAAAGTCAGCGTAAAATATGATTATAAGGAGACAAGATTTTTAAGTGAAGAGAGTCCTTTAGTGAGGTCATATCTGTAGTTGAATTTGAATATCCCAAATCCCAGAAAAGGTTTATAAACCCTTAGGGCGTGATAGGACCTCAGACAATTTCTTACCGATTCAGTGAAAAACTACAGTGTGAAAGCACTTGTGTTGGGGCTGTAGGAAGCACAAAGATAAAACCCAAGTGTTTATGCCATCCTGGAGCTGAACAAGGCAGAAGGCAAGATCATTAATAAGATGACCTAGAACATGCTATGAATGCCTAGGAAAGGGAGGGTTCATCTCACCTGAAGAACCTTCTTGGAAGAGGTGGCATTTGCTCTGATCTCCCAAGAACGCCTAGGCTTCCATAAGACAGAGTCGGGTGAGAAGGTGAGGGCGTTTAGGGATGTATACAATGTAGGCTGCCTCATTCACTCTGCAAATGCTTCCATGGAATGTACCAATAAAGGAAAAATGTTATTTTGTACCAAATGTGACAGACAGAGTCTTATAATAATGTACCTGTTATAAGGATTCAGATAAAAGGATTAGAGTTTTGTGTTTTTCCAAACATACAACCACCTGCCCACGACATCTTCCAAACAGTTTAGTTTATGGATGGTAGTTCTGCCTTCACCCTGCCTCCTTCATTTAAAAGGATCCTGTTATATATTTAATTCTCATCTCTGATTGCACTTATGTTAGATTTGTTTTCTGAACTTCTCTCAGTAGATTTATACTTATGGCCTAGGGCTTCATGGGCTCTGAATGATTTACAGGGAAGGTCTACACCGGGCTTTGTCTTGAGCAGCATCAGTGTTTAGCTCTATTGAGAACGAGGGCTGGGACGGAGGTCTGGCCCCACTAAGGACAAATGGGCCTGCTTTGGGTGAGACACTTAATCTTGTGACTCTCCTTTTTCTCCCCTGTCAACTATACTATTCACCATTTACAGCATGAGAATTAAATAAGATCATAAATTACAAATACTTTGTAAAATATAAGAAGCTAGGTAAATATAAAACATAAATTTTTATTTTTTAAATTATCATTTTCCCAAGAGTTTGAAATGTTCTTCTATATTTGTCACTTATCCTCAGGCAACTTATTTCTTAGATTCAATGTCATTTGAGTATCACATTTGTTCCATGTGTTATATTTTTCTCCTTTGCAGTTATCTCATGTGCCCACAATTGCATTTTATTTTTCAGCCTCTACAATTCCCTCACCTGATTTAAAAACCCTACTTTAGTCTTACTTCTTGGATGAAGTCTTACCAGTTAGGGCAAGTTGATTATGCTCATGCAGGTGACACTAGATGGAGAGTATTTTATCTCAACTTCTATATCTGGTTATTGTTTTTTCCTGCAAGGATTCTATATATTATAAACAAAACAGAAGTGGTGAAGAAGAAAAGCAGAAAACAAAATCTAGAAATGATTAATGGGAAAGAACAAGAGCTAGAGACTTGTTTCAAATAAGAGAAGATGTTGTGACATAATGACCCATATAGGCCATAGCAATAGTCTACCCTGGTTGAAATTCCATCTCTGCCATAGCTGTGTAACCTTGGGCAAGTTGCTTAGTTGTTTTGTGCTCCAGTTTCCTCCTCTTGGAAGAGAGATGATAATAATAATACCTATCTCATGAGATTATAGGGGGATTATATGAGAGAATACAGGGAGAGAACTTGGAAGAGCGCCTAGCACATAGTAAGTCCTCGTAAAAAATTAGCTCTCACTGACAGCACATTAATACATGTGAGGTACAGTCTGGTCTCTGTTTAAAAACTAGCTCTATATAAGTTGTCTACAAGTTTTTATTAATGACAGCCTATATACCTGTTCCACTATTGGAGCTACAACATGAAATGAGGCTTATATGTCTTTATAAATTCACATTTCTCTTGCGTGATTATTAATGCATAGAGTATTTTACTTGGCACAAGTAAAAAAGAAAAGTCTCGGCATAAGACTATGCTTATACTAATTTGTATTCTACTTTTTAGAGTTATTTCTTACATATATGTCCACATGTGAATGTAGTCTACATTTACCATTATTAGGGATTATGAAGTTTTTTTCTTTTTCTTTTTCTACATGGCCTAGTTTGCTTAGTCATTGTCCTATTACTGGAAATTTGGGTTATTTCCAGTTTTTCACTAATTCAAAATAGCCCCTGAATGAACATCTTGAACAAATTACCTTTTTCTTTTGTGTTATTTCCTTGGGGTATATTCCAAAGACTGAAATTACTGAGTCAAAGGGCAAGAAAAGTTTTATAGCTCTCATTCCAAGATACAGATAGCTTTCGGGAATACTGAACCTATTTACAATAGTAGTAGCTTGCCCACACCTCTTTTTTGCAGAGCCCTACCAGCTTTGCTCAGTCCCCATTTTTAAACTCAAATTAGTTTTCCGCAGCCTGCCAGCCGGCTTCAAACAACCTCCTCCCACACTCACCAGTATAATTTAAGCAACAGAAGTTTCAGTGTTGCCTGCAAGTAAAGAAAGGAAGGGAACTGGAAGGCCCGTGCTCAGTGGTAGGTAGGGGGCGCCAGATCAGATAGCCTTCGAAGCAGGTTCAAGTCTTTGCCCTGCTGCTTATTAGCTGAGTGACCTTGAGCAAGTCGCTCAATTTTTCTTAGCCTCAGAATCTCTGTAATACTGTTGTGGTGAGGGATAAAATAGATAGAGATGTAAAGTGCTTAAGGTAGCACTTACCAGTAAATGAACTTCATGAAATCTTGTCATCTATTTCAAAGTAGAACTAAAATAATTTGAACCTTATTTGTTATTTTACTTTATACACATAACTGCTATGTCATCATTTGTATGGGTAGTGATAAATTTATTGCACATTTAGCATAATATGATTTGTATGTCCTGATATCTTAAAATGTCAACTTCTGGAGAGTATCAGCTGTGTTGTGTTTGGTGTAATTCCAAATATTTTGCAATATGAGAATCAGTAAATTATTTGCCTGGGACAAATTGAAAATTAAAAGTGGTATATTCATTTCTGGGCCATTTGTATATCTAACACAATTGTGCATAGGATCGTATTGTGTTTCTCGAAAATTTTATGCCTATATTTTAGTGGCTGTGCCGTATCACATAAAGTTGATGGAAAAGCCTGGAAAGGTCAAGATAATTTCCCACCAACCCTGCCCTCATCCAATGCAGGAATCTTTACCTGAGAGATGGTCATCCAGACCCTGCCTAAAAACTTCACTTTTAATGACTTTAAAATCATCATACTCTTTAAAGTTCTTGCATAATAGCAGTAATTTTATCAACAGTGGTTAAAGTTTTGTGTGAAATAACAGTCTACCATAGGCACATATTAATAATTTAAATTACATACTGACAAATTACTAGTTCTGTAATTCACATTGTAAGTGCACACAAAGGCAGATCATACAAGGGAGATACTTGTAATTTCCTGGTTCACTTCGTGGATTTCTAGCAAATGTCCCTAATTTTCAGTGATACGTATAAGCTAGCTGATTTAGGTGGTATGACTATGTTCCTTTCATCCAATTAATTTATCACTTTGTTATTCTTGGGTGAGTAAAGAGAGGCATTATTTTGCAGAATAAAATGAGACCTGAATGGGGAGCAAACACTGGTTATCTATCAAGATGTAGGGGCAGGCCAGATGAAACCTGGAATATGGCAATGAACATGGGCTCTTATCTGCCCTTCCCAGTTTGCCCATACCTGGTCCCCAAAGGAGCCATTTCTTATTGCAGTATTGCATAAAGATGATGTCTATTGCATTCACTTTCCAACAGCTGACATATAAGCAGCTGTGGCTTGAAGTTCTCCAGCTAATCTCAGCAGGGTTTCTTTAGTGTGTGGTCACCTCTCTCCAGCTCATAATTCAGAATGTTCAGCCATCCTGTTGCTCTCCTTCATGCCAGCATGTTCAGACACCCTGCAGAGCTGGGATGCAGCCAGCTGAGCTTGGCTACTGGGACTGGCCACATTCCAGGACTTCGTTATGGGTGACGCTGCCCTGCCAGTTGGTGTTGAGGATGGTGCACAAATGATGCTAATGAGATTTACAGAAGCTGGAGTTTTGTTATTGACAACAGGCCTGAAACTTCCAGCCAAGTAATGGGAAGGATTTGATAAGCTCTTGGCT